ATACACACAATAAACAAAATAAATCATAACTATTAATATTTTAACAAGAATAATATGTATAACATGTTTATCAGAGATAGCAAGACTAGATACGAAATACACATATCTATATATGCACATACATGTTTACAGATCCATGCACACATTAATCATCTGAAGTGTGCAAATATGTCATCATCATATTGTTGTAACGCTTACCCTACCTGTAATGGGTTCCAATGAGGCTTTATTATTCAAAATAGGTGAATCTGTGGCAAATTAACACAAACACTTTGATCTGTACAGTTGTGAGAAGACAACAATCACATATAAGCGAAGTTTTTGGCTTTAGCTTAATATCTCAAAGTGTCTCCCATATGGTCTAGCGGTTAGGATTCCTGGTTTTCACCCAGGCGGCCCGGGTTCAACTCCCGGTATGGGAACTAGGATTTTAAGAGGGCTTAACCCCAAGGGATCAATAATGGGTTTTATTTGTGATACTTCAGTTTACAGACCAAATAACAAGAGAAGAATATGGATATGCAGAGTCAATAATAAATAATATCTGATCAATCTTTTACAAAGATATGCACACCGTTCCATATCGCTGCATTAAAAGGAAGAAAGCCTTCATGGGACAGACTTTCTGTCTCTGCTTTCCACATTCTTCCACGAAATACCTGCAACCTGCAGTTAGTTAAACTCAAATGACATTTGAGCTTTATTTTACATGCGTCTACAAACAATAATTTCCTCCTTGTAATATTTAGACAGTTTGCCAGGCCTACATGCTGGCAATGATATCTTACCTTCACTGTACAAAACAATGATTATGGGAGGGAAAAAAAACTAATTTAAAATGTCCTTTAATGGATCTTAAACAGGTCTCCCCATGAAGCTTTCACTCTGATTTCCCAATAGATATATACTGGCTAAATACTGTGACAACAACAATGTAAGAGAAATAGAAGTCATAAAGACGCCACCACATTATTATTTTATATTTTGTGTTTAAATTACTGACTGATTTGACCAAGCATGAAATTAACATATCATTTGAAATATCTGTAATCCAAACTATGTATTTTTGTTTTAATCTGACTCTGATTGCTTCTTTCTGATGTAAACATACTGTGTGTGACAAATCTGTGTAAGGACTTTATTATGAATAGCAAAAAAAAGTACTCTGTATAATCCCTTTTCCTTTGTGTCTACAGAGTATAACTCCTTGAACAGCCTGGTGTCAGAGGCCTTCATCCGCTTCTTCCTGGAGACCATCGGCCATTACTCCCTGTTTATCACTCAGAATGAGCGAGGAGAGCGTGTTTTCCAGAGAGAGGCCTTCCGCAAGTCTGTGGCGTCTAAAAGCATCCGTCGTTTCCTGGGTGTCTTCATGGAGTCTCAGATGTTTGCAGGGTTCATTCAGGACCGGGAGCTGAGGAAGACCCGGGCTAAAGGTAGTCTGTCAGTTGTTTCTCTGTACACTTCTTCTTTAAGGATTTCCACCCCTCTACTAACTGAAATACTAACTGTGCAGGAGTGGGCTCTGGAGTAATACTGATCTCTAGTGGTTGGAACTTACCATATGCATGTTTTCTTTCTGCTCTTCTTGGCAGACACAAATAATTGCAACTTCCTTGAATACTAAGATGTTTCATATTTCCTTTTTTTAAATCTCTTGTATTGTGTTGTTGTCAGGTCTGTTTGAGCAGAGGGTGGATCAGTATCTGGAGGAGCTGCCAGACACAGAGCAGAGTGGAGTCAACAAGTTTCTGAAAGGCCTTGGTGAGTCCTGCAGCACACACACAAGGACAAACTCAGATTCAAATCAAATCAAATCAGGTTTTATTTATATAGCACATTTAAAAGCGATTTTTGGTCGAGCCAAAGTGCTGTACATGTAATAAAAACACATTACTACAATCACAATAAACGACAATAAATTACAACAGATATATCTTAAAAACAAAATAAAAATAAAACACACGGAAAAGTCAGGAGTCGTGCTCCGCTCTAACTAGAAAGCCAGAGAGAAGAAGTGTGTTTTTAGTTTTGATTTAAAAACCCCTAGGGTCTGGGCCGACCTCACATGGAGGGGCAGAGTGTTCCAGAGCCTAGGGCCAGCTGCTGCGAAGGCTCGGTGCCCTCGGGTTTTTAGCCTGGTCTTGGGCACTACCAGCAGCAGCTGGTCAGCAGACCTTAAAGCTCTGGCTGGGGTGTAGCGCTGGAGCAGTTCAGCTATATAGGCCGGAGCCAGCCCATTTAGTGCTTTAAAAACAAATAAAAGGATTTTAAAATCAATTCTGAACCGAACTGGAAGCCAGTGTAGTGAGGCCAGAATAGGGGTGATGTGGTCGCGCTTTTTGTGGCCAGTCAGCAAACGTGCAGCAGCGTTTTGGACTAGCTGTAGGCGTTTAATTGAGGCCTGGTCCATACCCACATACAGAGCGTTACAATAGTCCAGTCTCGAGGTTACAAAGGCGTTAATAACCCTTTCTAAGTCATTAAAAGATAAATACGACTTGGTTTTGGCCAATAGTCTTATTTTAAAAAAGCAGGATTTTACTACGGTGCTGACCTGCTTGTCGAATTTAAAAGTGCTAGTGAAGGTCACTCCAAGGTTCATACGTTTTTTATTTATGCCGTTCTGAAATCAGGCTGCTCAGATATTTCCTCTGTAGCTTTTTTTGAACAATCTCGTACTACAAGATTATATCACACGACTCTTTGTTAGAAGTTATTTTGCCAGAGGGAGCTACACACCGCTTTCAATTTGCCGCTTTCTCATTTCAACCCATATTTTAACTAATAGAGAAAATAAACTTTGTTGATAGTTTATCATTCTAATTTAACTTCACTTTTAGCTGCACTGTGCAGAATAATATATGTGCAGTTTGAGACTAGAAGGCTGTTTCCACATTCATCTGCTGGAGGGGGACATGTTATCTGTGCTCACCTGCAATCTCAGTTTAAGGCGTGTGATGCTCGATACACGTAGGATTTTATGTATTTATTCAGAGTCTTTTTTGATGCCTATAAAGATTTCTGGAGGGCATATTGAAATAGGTTATCAGGAAACTACACACTACAGAAGATATTAAGATTTCTACACTGACTTCAGAGAAACAGATCACAGTTAAATCCTCATGTAATCTGAGCCTGCTTTAATCACCATATACTGTTTAATTACCTGAATAAAAGTAAGCTCTCAGATGTTTATGCATTTACATGATCTAATTGATTTGTTTTTAATGTTTTCAGGAAGTAAAATGAAGTTTCTCCACAAAAAGAACTGAGGGGAAAAGACCTGAAGTATCTGCCTTATGATGATTTTCACCATTTTAAAATTATTTTATCAATGTTTTTTATGTAAACATGTACATATTATTTCACTGTAAGCTGGCTGTGATACTCTTCAGTGTATGTTTATAGTACCTTATGAGATAGCGATAGCAGGACGGTACACAGAGAGTGATCCGTAGAGTAACCACTGATGTCCAGGTGTGTGTGAGAAGAGTGTGTGAGTGTATGTGACCTGACATGGGCATATGTACAGTTCATATGTTTTCATTTTGCATTATTTCATCACAGTGTTGTCCTCTGTTTCAGGAGTGTAATACCTATTAAAAAACTGTACATGCATCAAGACAATGAAGAAAATGATTGTAACTCTTCATAGAGTCTTTAACATTTTTTTAATAAAAGATTGCAAAAGTGCTTCAAAGTGTACAATATTGATTATTATTATAAATATTTGTGTTGTTAGCTTTTGCTTAAAGGTCAATCTATAATTTTGACGCATCATTGGTTTGTTCTTATTTTTGAAGACAAAAAAGTTATCCTTTTCTTCTCATATCTACCAACAAGGCCAATTATCAAACACAACCATACAGATGTACTCTGCAGCCTTTTTAATCTACAAAAACTAAACCCAGAGCTTTTCCACTCTTAGAAACAAAAACATGTTATTCACAGTTTGACAGATGATATACAAATCTCCTCTATTTACAGCCGACATCTCAATGACAGCCTCCCCTAAAGCTATGCATTAAGAGAAGCTGCTAAGATCCCAAAAGGCACAGTTAGTCTAGCACCAGCTACCACATGCTGCCGCTAACCTTATTACGTCTCTGCACATCACTCTGGTGGCTGTCACTGCCACGCTGTTAATAGTTCTCCTCACTGAGAGGCTCGCTGTTGATTCCACCGCCATGTTACTTTCCTCTGCTTGTGTCCATTACTGCAATTAAGGGTGACATTTGATGTGAAATCACAGCGTTCTAGCAGGGACACTTACTCTACATCCATTTTGTTATCTTACCGGGAAGGACAGTTTATGAAACAACTATTTATGTCACATTTTTATGTATAAGGCTTTATTTTAAATTTGGGAAATCTTGATTTTACTCTACTGAATCTAACTAATGGTTTACATATTGAGAATATACATACAAAACAAACGTGCATCAGTGATTTGATACCATTAAGAGGACTATAATGCAGATGGAGTACTGTTACTTGTGTTTATTTTTCCACTGCTATATTATGCCCATAATTAAGAAAGGATTTTAATGTTTTTTTTATGAGAATATATTCACATGGTTGTACTTTCTACTTTAAATCAGGGATATTGTTTATTTTCATCCACCGACTGACTCTATGTAAAAGAAAACTCAGTTATTTTATTTAAGCCAGAGTAGAAATACCATGTTCAGATAGGCTACATGTAGTGGCTTACATTATTAAAAATATCTGACATTGATTTTGTGAAATAAAAGTACTAAGTTCAATTGAAAGTAGTAAAATAACAAAATACATGTTCTTAATAACATTTATCCTCTGCTTATAATAGATAATTTTCACATTTTGTTAAGCCTACTGTTATTTTGACTTTGATAAGATGTGATTATGATATGATGTGAATATTTTTTCCATCACGTTGCAACTGTGCGGTTACAATTGAAAGTGTCACACTACAGCTTTGAGAAACGTCAGAAGAATTGCGTGAGAACGAATATAAAATCTCACGATTAACTGCGAGACTTGGTTGTCTCTAAACATTTGGCCGGTCTAAAGAGCGACATCCGATGGGGGGAGCGACACTCGGAGATGCACGGGTCAAGGTAACAAAAAACAAAACAAACACTCGAGATTAGGACGGACACACACTGCAGGCAGCACACCTGACGTGACTGACAGGACGACAGAAGTTAGCAGCAGACAGTCTCATCCTCGCACGCGCTCACACTGATGTTTACCTGACAGGATGCTTGGCACGAGCAGCGCACTTCGCATTTCACTTCACATTTGTACACAGAAACAGTTTCTGGAGGCTCTGTTACAACAAACTATCGGTGTGCTGACTTTGTGTTTGCGGGGTCGGTGTCCTTTTGTTTTGGTGTGGTGCTCCATGATGCCATGATGAGGGCGTAAAAAACGTATTCTCATGCGCACTTTCTAAAAAATAAAATGCCGCTCAGTGCTGCTGCTGGAGGTGATGATGCTAATGCAGAGGCAGGCTGAGGATGTGGAGGCAGACCTTCATACAGTCTATGGGGCAGATGCTCTGCAGTTTGACTGGCAGGCTTGTTGACGCGTTAGTAAAGTGCTGTCAGACACTTACATGAGCAGATGGAACAGCCACACGTGCCATAAGGAAAACCCCAAACTCCCACCGCTGTGTACCGTGGCGTGAGGAATACATCACCAAACTATGGTGGCATACTTTTTCTTATCGGTAGGATTTTCATGACTTCATTGTAACGTTCAAACAGGGATGTGTTGTTTTACATTGATTTTTACAAACTCTATAGTTGCAACAAATAAGAATTATGTAGGTTGTTTTTTATGTTTATTGAGAAGTTAAAGCTCCCGTTTGATTTCACAGAGGAATTAAAGTACATAATGTAAACCAAGTGTTTCCTCTTCCAACTTAATATTCATTAGAAAACATTTACTTGACTTCACTAAGACACTAGCATACATTATGGCTGTACTGTACCTGGCCATAACAAGGATTTTAGAAATACTGTATACAATTTGTTTTAGTCTACCCCAAAAATGCTACTGAGTGCTCACTGTTTTAACAGAGATTACAGCAAGGGGCTACACAATATTGTTTTTCCTGAATATTGCACATTGTTGTCTAGATTACAAATTTCAATAACATTTTTTTTGATTTTGTCTACTATTTTGATAAACAATTTAGCATGTACAGTAACTTATACATTCAACATTTAACCTAAAGCTGTATTAATCAACATATTTTTTTTATAATTAATAATTATTAATGAATTACATGACTACATTTCATTTGAAAGGGACAGAACAACAGAGAAATATTTCCCATTTCTACAGTAATGTTAACTACAGTACTTGTCAGCATAATCAGTTATTCTATCTGTGGTGTCCAAGTTGTTGTGTCAACCACCAACTTTTGCTTCTAAGTCAACAACTTTACACAGACATAATATGTTAGAGCTTTCGTTCCATCGACCCCCAGGTGGTCAAACATGTATTAAAGGCATTTGAAAATAAATATTAAGGGTTATTTTTAAGGGAGTTTTTAAACAAGATATAACTTTATGCATAACGATGAGGTGTCACAGCAAAGAGAAAGTAAAAATGTGAAGCGCATGACGCACTTATTGTGACAAGATCAACTATACAAGGTGTGTATATGCTTGTACAAAGAGTTTATATACAGTAACTCCAGAAGGGTTTATCAAAAATATTGAAATCGTTTGGGTATTTTTGATATAGTTGTGATTTCTTAAGAATCTATTTGCATTTTATGTGGAGTCGCTTTTCTCCTTTTGGTGGATTTCTTTGAAGAACAGAGAGAAAGTTATTTGAAGACAGAAATAGTTGAATGGAATATAGCTTAAGAGTGGTTGTAGATAATCCTGCTTTCTTTGTGATCTCATCTCTCCAGTGTTAATAAATGTTACATAGGTGGTGCTTTCAAGGGAGAGATCACTGTGCAGGTTTCTATTATTGTGACATCTCTTGAGATAGCGTGCGTATCTAGTCCCAGCTTCACTTAGCAGGGCAGGGAGAGAGGGCAGGAGGTTTCAGTTTTAAAGATGAATGCTCTGAAGGTTCAGTGAAAGCCACAGCACACTCGGAGAAGGCTATGCAGCTGTGTCAAAGAAAGGCAGGGTGTACGACGACTGACTAATTGTGTTTCAAATTGGGTCTTTGAGCACACAATGGGGAATGGGATTTTTATGAGCTCCCCACTGAAACACCCAAGGATGAGAAAGTTGTCAGATTTGTAGGTCAGGCTGCAGGGGCTGTTGTTAGGCAGACTAGCTCACAGTTTTACATATCACAGCGGTTTTATAATGGGCTAAACTTGATGGCGAGTGTTTGTTTGAAATTTCAAATGCATTCTGTTTCCCAGCTCTCATATTGCCATGTTTCTTTTGCAGATGCATTGAGTATTATCCCTTTGTTGTCAAATATTCTTCACTCATTGTCTACAGTTGGCTGCTTTTCTTTCTTCTTACAGTGTGTGCTTCATTTTCTCTGACATGCTGAGTTAAAATCTTAATTGATTTCACAGTGTTAGAGGTAATTGCAGGAGTGTACCCTAGTCCCATCTGGAGCTTATCAGAGCCTGACCCGGTTTCTGTGTGCTACGTTATTGCGTAGCTGCAGCTCCACTGGGACCTGCCCCCTCCTTGTGCTGATTAAGGGAAGAAGGCCACAGCCGTCCCATTCTAGCCCAGTGCGACATATCCCGTCACAACCTGAGCCTAACATCGCCTTATCCTACCTCACACTGCCTGCTCCAGAGAACTAAAAGTTGCTTATGGTACACTTTACCCCTCCTTGTCTCACTGTAGGTCATTTGTTCTTCCTTCCACAGTTTTGGAAAAAGCTTCCGGGTATATTTTGCCCTACAAAAAAATAATTATCTTATCTCCCTAATTCCCAATTATTATGCACAGGCTTATTTAAGGAAACGGATTAGATTTTCTCTCTTTTTTCGGTGGCTGCACCAGCAATCGGGGGGATGGATTTGAATGTGACACTCCTGTCCTCCGCTGCAGTGAGGGGGTCCTACACTTGGATGAACTGGGGGAGGAGAGAGCACAGTGCGGCTGTCATGTAAGCCGTCTCCTCTGGGGCTGCCTCTCGGTGCGCGCTGCTTCCTGCCTCAGGTAGAAGCCTCAGTGTTTCTGCTGCTGAGGCGTCAGGCTGATCGCTCTACTCTCCCTGCAGCTGAGAAATCAACGGATCCACTCTTAAAGCACTACAATGGAGAAGGTAAGGTTTGTTTCTGCATTGTTTTCTATCTGGATTTTGACACAGATATAGATGTTTATTTTTGTGTTGCAGTTTCTAAATGTTCACTGTTGATCTTGAGATTGAAGCCCCTTAGGGCATTTTGGGCCTTTCTGTGCAGACTTGGCATGCTTCCTATGTTTATGTTGCTCTCTCCGCCTAACAGATAGGTCAGATGTTAGGAATACCTGGAAGAGAATACAGGTTTTTAAAACTGGATTAAGTCCCAAGGCTGCTCTTAAATTAGTAGGAAGGGTCATCTGCAGAGAATGAATTTCCCCACAGGGATCAATGAGGTATTATTAAGGTAAAAATAGCTGCACTGTACATCATCTTACTGGGTTTCTGTAGAAAGCTGCCATACTATTTTATTTAACAGATTCTTCAATACATCATAATGTTTAAATGCTGAGGTTTGGAACATTAAATCAGTGTTTTACTGATTTTGCCTGACACAAATAATGCTGTAACTGTTGATCTTCTTCTTCTGACACTTTCTGAGGCATTTGCAAGCGTGAGAACAGATGACAACTCTTTGAAGTGTGATTTAGCACAAAGTGGCAACACAAATGTTTCTGACATATGCAACCTTGTCTTTCTATCACATGTGCCTCTTTGTGTGGCACAGACACAGTGTGTGTTCACTGTACATGTTTGTATGTGTGTGTGTTTCAGAGCTGCTCAGAGTGCTCAGTGCCGACTCTTGCACACAGCCTGTGTACACTCTGCAACAAGTGGTTGTGTTACCAGTGCACAGATGTGCATCAGCATCAGAGAGCCCCCACCACTTCCCAGTACACAGACATGCACCAGCAGCATAGGCCCGGTGCCCCCCCCGTGCTCTGACCTGCACCAGAGAGGCTCCAGCTCCCTGTCTCCGACTGGACAAGGCAAGATATTTTCCATATTTGAACAATTTGTCCCCTCCATTTCCCGCCCAGTATGACAGATTATCAATTGGGCTCTATGTCAACACAAAGCTTGTTTTTGCTTCTTTGTTTTCCCTCTGGGGCTTTGTTTGTTTGTTAATCATGTCTCAGTAGGAACCATGGCGATGAATAATGCATGAGAGTGATGATGGTTGATAAAAGTTCCTGGAGATCTCTGCGTTTTATTAAAACCTCTCTTCAACACGTGGCCCGGATTCTAAGCTGCCTGCATGATTTTATTTTTGCTAATATTAGTGTTGCTATTTAAAGACCCTCAAGTATGGCTGGCAGCTTTGTTGCCAGCTGCTTTTGCAAGTGTATGTCGCTCAAGTTGTCAAACGATAAAGACTAAGTTCTGGACTTTATTGTGATGTGGGGATGTTACTGTTTGATTTGTGTACTTGTGAGAAAGAGCCGTGTGAGCGCGCTGACAGACAGGATGTGGTCAGTGAGATAAGGTTGATGCACACAGGGTGATGCTCAGCTCTTCACCACATGGAGGTGTGATAATGTGCAGGCAGGGGGGTTGGATGAGGTGAGGCGATCAGCGTAGAGCAGCAGGGCGAGTGTTCATTAGCCGTATCCATCTATTGTTAGATAGATGTTCTGCACCTTCTACAGTGACCTATTTAGAAATGTGTGAGAGATACTTCTGAGGTGTGCATTAGTATGTGTAGTTGGTGCATCAAAGGCATTGGACAGCATTCAAAATTGTTTCACTTACATCTCATACATCTTTATCAAAGTCTCATTACAACCTCAACTTGCAACCTATTTCCTGCACTTGTATTTTTGCATTAACTTGCAGAGTTACAGTAGTTCTAATGATGCATGCCAATATAACTCATCACAGTTTAGTTGTTAGCCCCCTGTCCCACTTGTAGCACCATTGTAAATAGTCACAGACTGCTTATACTTTGAAAAGCTACATGAATGTAAAGACAAGAAGTGTATTGAGAGACTAACTGATTTCTTATTGTGATCGTTTGAAAAAATATGCAACTAAAACTTTATTATATACAATAATTATACTTATATACATCCCCAACAATGCATGCCAACATTCTCTGCAATGATCTAATGATAAAAAACACATATTCAAATTCTTTCAATTAGCCAAACCACACCCAAAAAATTACTGATTTTATTTCACTAGACATTGTGATAATATATACATTTGATCACTTTTAACTTATTAAACTAGTTAGTGTTTGTCTTTGTCCCGAGCGTCCTCTGGCTGTTTGTGTGTTTTGCTTGCTGTCTGTTGCTAATGCTCACTCCTCTCTCCTCTCTCTTCCCTCCCTCCCTCCCTCCGTCTGTGTTTTAGGCCCAGGGTCGTATCCTTGTTCCCTCCTCATGTGCCACTCTCACAGACAGGAGCCCTTGGAGCTGTTTTGTGAGTCATGTGACCTTCTGTGCTGTAGCAGCTGTCACCTGTCCTCCCACAAAAACCACAGGTCAGTCCTCAGACACACAGCACAAGGGCACTGCAGAGAAGGGCTAACCGCAGGTTAAAAACGTCCCCGCGCAACTTCAACTGCCGTGTCACTTTCATCGTCTGTATCTGCATACACTACCCTTGGCTCGCCTAATACATATTAAGTATTCATACGCTTTAGTTTTCTGTGATGTTACAGTACTGTATCTGCCTTTTGAGGTCACCTGAATAATGTCTTGTCCCCAAGGGAAACCTTTGTGTTCTTCCTGTCCAGAGAATAAATTAGTTGTGTTTCTGTGTGGTTGATGCTGTGATCTGTGTTCAGGGTGGTGCAGATCGGGAAGGCCCTCCAGGACCAGCAGTGGTTGTTTGAAAGCCTGGTGGTGCAGGTGGATGAGAGGAGGTCTGCGGTGGAGAACAATGCTAAGCAGATAGAGGACAGGTTGGTTTGAACTCTACAATCAGCGTCCCATTTCTTAGCAACTTCTGCCAGACATGCTCAATAATTTAACAGTGTGAAATATAACGATCTAATGCATAAATTACCGTCTGCAATGCTGCTCTGTTCTGCTTTTGGGATTTATTTTTCGCCTTTCTGTCTTTCCAGACTTCATGGAGTAAAGATTGCACACAGGAAGGCAGAGAACCAGATTAAAATGGCAAAGATGATAATGATGAACGAGCTTAACAAACGAGCCAACCTATTAATAGAGCAACTGGAGGTAATTACTTTCTTTTTCTTTCCTTCTCATCGTTCAGCCAGCCATGAATCTACATGCAAAGAATCAGTAACCGCCGTGATGTAATCAGTCCTGAAAGCAAGCAAACAAGAACCCATAATAATCTGTCAAAGCTACTTAAACTCACATCTCAGGAACTGCATCTGTCTAAAAGAAAAGAAGGGCCATTGATTTCCCCCACAGTCCAGCAGTTGACTCTCTGTGTACCAGTAATTACTGGATGCTTTTTCATGCGTTTTTCTTTGCAGAAAATCTCTGAGGACTTCCAGCAGCGTCTGGAGGACCAGCTGCAGGGGGCAATAGAGATATGTGGCCAGCTGGACCATGTTCAGAAGTTCATCACCTGGGCTACGACCCACCACTGCAGAGGCCCGGTGCTCTTCAGCAGGGCTCTGGTACGTTGACAGGGCAAGCAGCAGACGGTCACTGTCCTATTCACATATGTTCCTATGAGGAAGGAATACTTAATCTCTATTGCTTCTTTTTCATTTCTAAATGTTATAGATGTAAAGTTTACAAGGCACTACTCAGCTAGTGAGAACAGCCGTACAATGTCCCCTGGGTTTCTAGAGGAGCTTTGTCACAGTAAGCTGAGAACATTTTTAAAGTTGCATCTGCTGAGACTTGAAAAACCACAAATAAAATAATGAAAAAGCAGGTTTTATGAACTTGAAACATTGAGACATGCAGGGAGGGTTTAGCCAAATACTTTCAAGTCAGGACATCTTGGTCTTAATTTTGACTTTTTTTTGTAAGTTTCATGTAATATGTGTTACTTAAAAGAGTATTCCAAATAAACCTCATACTCTAATAGTTCAAAGGGGATGCTTTTTTTTAAACTTTAGTAATCTTAAGCTTAGTGTGGGATTCGATCTCCAGCAGCTTTCCTTTCAGCAGTATATGGAGGTTTATTTTGATACTCCCTTTACTTTTCACTCTGTAAAGCAGCTGGGTTTATAAAACACATATTCTTCTTTTAGATTTCTCTCCAGATGCAGCAACTTCTTGACTCGTCACTCCACTCAGACTCTGGGAGTCCTGTTAAGATCAAATTCAACTGGGATGCTAGTTACTGGACTAAGCAGATTTCCTCATTAGGTAAAAGGAATGTTATTAAAGCGAAATGGTTATATTTAGCTATTTTATTACTGTTAAACTTAATATAATAAATCATCTATATGAGAATATCATATTTTTTAGGATTAAGCGAATTTGCATAAGGTTTTTGAAAAATGCAAGCAAATGTGTTCATTTTTTAAAATTTGTTTTCAATGTAACTATATCTGTTATATCTTTAAAAAAAAGTGTACATAGTTACCATCGTTATTCTCATAGTTGGAACAAATTATTTTCTGTTTCAATGTTTAAAAAGTGTGTTATTAATCATGTAATAATTGCATGATGTATTACATTCTTTTAAACAGAGTTGTTAATGTTGCTCTGCAGGCCAGCTGACTGTTGAAGGGGGAAACTGCACGTATCCTCAGGGCTTGGCCTGCTCCAGTATTCTCCGGCCTCAGCCCATCCCCTGCCTGTCTCTGCCGTCCGTGTGTCACAGAGGACGAGAGCCGGGCTGCGGGTACCAGAGCTGCTGCGAGACCCAAATGTGTTGCCTGCACGGCGTTCCCTCTCAGCCTGATATGTCCAGCCTGGAAAAAAGCCAGCTGGAAGCCACGCTTTATAGATCCAGCTGTGTTCAGCCTGCTCTTATCTCTGCCTCCTTGCACCAGAGCCAGCAGCTCCAGAAGTGCTGGGACCGAGAGAGTGTCTCACATTGTCCTCCTGCATCTTCACCTGTCCGGATCACAGGACCTATCAACTGCAGTCGAGGATCTACATCCCAGCCACAAGCTGTCGCCTCACAGCTCCAGTCTCAAAATAAATCGTATCTCTACCGCCAGCACCAGAGAGAAGTTCTTCTAGACAGCCAGACTCAGCCGAGTGCAGAGCGCAGCGGGCCAGGCCAACATCAGAGGAAGCTGTCCACCAGCACTCTGCAGCAGGATCTCAGCCACACAGGCGTGGACAGAGACCTGTTGACTGAAGAAGACTGGAAGGGGAGACGCAGAGTGGAGGAGGCTGGTGGACAAACGGCAGCAGTTGAGAGCAGGGAGCTGCTGGGTGTGGAGGTTCAGCAGGACAGGAGGGGGCAGAGTCCGGTCCAACAGCAGCTCCTTGGTCCTCCAGAGCTGAGGAGAGAGCTGCAGAGAAACAGACCAGCACTGAGACTCAGAGACCAAAGAGATGGCAGGGTGAGAGATAAAGTTAATAATAGACACCTACTTATACCGGATATTGCAATATCTTTGTTTGTTAAGCATAAACACAACATCATTAAAATGTTTAATACATTTGGCACAAACATGTACACTAAAACCAGTTAACTTTGCTGGAAACTAAATCATTAGCTTTTGCTATTTCGTAAAAATAGAAATAGCAGTTTACATTTAGTCACGACACAAAGTCCATGCAATAGCTGCTATAAATCAAACGATGCAAAATACATAAGGCAACCTTTATCAAAAACTTTGATATGCCACAAACACAAATGACAGAGTAAATAAACACATATATTTGTTATAGCTCAAATTAGCTGTCATGAAGGATAGGGGATAACTTTTCAGGAAAGTGCAGCCTGTAAAGCATTTTACATATCCACTTTTGCTTATTCATTGTTCTTCTAAAATCACTTTTATATAGTTTTAGTGTTAGTAAAGCGACATAGTTGTGATTCTCATTTGTAAATGAGGCGTATTTGTTTGTGGTAAACATTAACACTACGATTATGTGTACCTCAGTCTTCAGATTATTGTTTCACACGTGGTACAGCCTCAAACTAATTTGAAGCCAACACTGTTTGTTCACACCTTTCAAAAACCACAATGTATCAGTTTCCCTGAGCAAGCGATCAAACATCTGTGTTTAATGGGAAATAGGTCAAACAAAAAGAACAAAGACAACAAAGTCTAATTCTAAAAAAGCTTAACGTAGTGACGTCTAATCAAACGCCAGTGGTAAAATGATATACATATGGGAAGCTGTTATTATACATTTCTGCAATATCCAAGTTTGAGGGAGTGTTGAATTTGAGGCGGTAATCAGTTTTAATTAATATCTGTAAAAGACTGACACCAAAGGAGCGCTTTATTTTAATGCCAGAATGATCACTTCCCACTGTTGACAGCTAGCCTGAAAACAGATGGTGCAACAGAAATGTGCTCCTGCTTTTATGAAGGAGGATGAAGGGAAAACAAAGAGCGGCTTTGACATTTAAAGCTGTGCTGTTCAAAGCAATGCCCAAAACCAGGAGAGCACTGTTCATCATAAACACACTTGATGCCAGAGGTTTGAGTAGCCATGTAATTACCCCCCCCCAAAAACTCTCTAGGTGCATGTTTTCCAACACAAAGATGTATCCTTTTTTCATTTTCAAGTCATACAACTTCAGAAAAGGACATAAAACCACTTGGGCGCAGCCATTTATGTGCTTAACCTGTCATTAATGAGACGCTAAGGGAATAGAGGGAGCTGCCTGTTTGATTTCAGTTCTGTTTAGCACTCTGAGATAAATTCCTACACCCCTTCATCGTTCCAGAGAGAAGGATTATAGTCTATTCTCCCCCACAGTCTAACCCTGCAAACCTCTCCCAAGGGGCATGGATCAGGTAAGTGTTTTAATCCCATGATACTAAGCAGCACATGCCTGGTGTCAGCCTGGCTTGAATATTTATGATGGTTCACTAGCAAGAGAAAAAACAAAGAGGAAGGAGGGAGGTTTTAAAAAAAAAAAACCTAGTGTTTAATGATTTGTCAGCCCTCCTGCACGCTTGAGATGTTTGAAGAAGCTTTTACGGACATTTGCTTTAGTTAAATTGTAATAGAAGAAAAGGAAAGAGTGGTAGAAAGCTGGTTTTGTTTTAATAAAATGCCCGCACTGCACACCTGATAGTGAATTTACATATCATAATTGGTGTTGTAACCAAACCTTTCATTGCCTGTATAACTGTAATATATGCAGCTCTGCGCTTGTTAGTTGCTTAGAATTAGTCTGAGAATAAATAGGCGATTAATGATGTTTCATTCAGTGTCTGGTTGTGTGTGTGCTTGTGTGACACTCAGGTTTTTTTTTCACTGCACACATCCCACTCCTTTTCTCTCCTGTCTGTTGTTAAAGGCATAAACAGGGGCATCTGTGCATGTGATGCGGATTGGAAACCTGCTCAGTTTTGCCTGTTTGTGTTTTTGACAGAGCTCCACATCCCTGGAGGTGTCGCTGACAGCCCATGAGTGTTTATCTGATGTGCAGAGCAGCAGACTCAGCCCTTCTTTAGGGTGCACAAGGAGGGAAAGACGCTCCCAGAGCATCCCTGCAGAACTGGCAGCCCCGTCTACCAGCCCTCACTCTGAAAGGCCCACAGGATGCACTCACAGACTACAGCCAGGAACTGCAACTAAGGTAACCCTGCAGCAGAATACAAGCACACATGAGGAGGAAATGCAGCTCAGCCTTGATATATAATAAAGGTGATCACTGATGTGGCTTCTGTACGTGTAAGATCTGGCTTTGCAAAGGATTAGCAATAACAAGCTTTCTCTTGTCATAAACAGTTTCACTGAAACATTAAAATGTTACTCTGATTTAGGGGCCAAACTATTATTTTGCTGATTATCTTCTTGACCATTTAATTCATCTTTATGGAATGTCATGTTTTTATTTTACTTTTTTAAATGAGGTCCCCACACTTTCCAAAAATGCAGAGACTTTTCAAGAGCTTGTGTGAAGTGTGAGACAGAGATCAAGGATAACCCATGTTACAACATTGATACTTTCTCTAATGAGGAAAAATAATTCACTTTGTACCCTGGCTTAAGGGTAGTCATATCTTAAGCTACCGCTACCGCTCAAGATATGATCATCCAAACCCATGTTAGTTTAGGAAATCATGTACAGTAGTAGCCAGTTTTTCCAACCAATTTTGACAATATCACTATTTGAAATATCCAAACAATTCTGGAGCAAGTGTTTGTTTGGACAAATATGAGCATCATAATAAAAGAAACATATACTAATAAGGTTAAATATACTAATATGTTTTACATAATGTTTGTTTTGTTCTAAGTATGTCAGTATGGACCCCAGGCAGAGGAGAGCTTCAGATGGGGTGCTTTGTGTTGTGAAGGAAACCTCGCCTCACACAGCGCCCTCCAGAGGACACCGCTCTCCTCTGTCCTATAAGACAGAGCCAGGTGCTGCTAAATACTACTTGCATAAATACTTAGCATACAATTATTTCTCATATCATATCATAAAAATAAAGTGCAAAGTTTGTAAATGCATGCTCATCACCCTTCTCTTTTCTAGATCATTCCTTTACATGTGTCGATGAAGAGATTGATTATGAGGCCAAAGAGAAAAGCAGGGCGACAAGAAACGACCAAAACAGGTGTGCTATAGTTGTCTAGTCAAACGCCTGTCCTTATATTATGAAACCAAGGTTTTAATCATTTTTTCTTTACTTGTCAACAGAGACGTTCAGAAGGACTCAGGAAAGCCCAGGGTCCCAGTGGTTTGCCTCGAGCGTCTCAAAATACTTGTGTCTCAACTCCCCCCACATGGACGACGGCAGAGCGACCCCTTACCTACCAGCCGCACGGAGAAGAGTGAGACTCTGAGAAACTGGCAAGATGCAACACCTGAAGTATGTATTATTTAAATAAATACACTAGAATGTTTAAAGAAAGTAATGTCATTTAAAATGAATTGAATTTATACGGCTTTCTTTAGGTGGTCATTATGTTTTTATATGATAAACATTTGTTTTCTTCAAATTCAAAGGACATCCAATGCCAAAATGTGTTTCTAAGTTATTTTAGATATTCAGCTTGTCATGTATATGGTTTAGTCTCAATACCTTTTGGATACCAACAGAAGTGGTCGAAAGTTAAGCAGTATTTCTTGTATGACCGTTTTTTTGAGAACATTTAACTTAGGTTATGACTTCAGTAAGGTATTAAAAAATATTGCTTACCTTAATGTTTCGTACCTTTATATATGTTTGATATTGTTTTGGAACAATGGCTACTTCTCTAAGAAATAGAAATCACTAGAGATGATGGTTAAAATTCTCTTAAAAGTATGCATGTTTTTATTCTTCAAATCTATTTAACAAATTATGATTCAAGCATGTAAGACTTTTTCGCTTCTCTTCTGTGTTTGTAAACATAGGGGATATCTGGAGGCTCTGAGACCACCAGGACCCCTCACTCCATTACAGCATCACCATATGCACAGCGTAATCAGTCTACCACACACTTGACCACCAGTGAGTTTGACAGCCGAGTTAGAATCAGCTGTCGTAAAGTATCCACGCCTCCGTCTGTTGACCCTAAATATGTGCCACAGATATACTCTTCATTGGACCTGGACTCTGAATCTGATCCGAGATCAGCTTCAGAGGACGCAGTCATTTCCAGGGCTGATCCAGCCAAACAGCTAAACTCAGATGCAACACCGGATTCAAATGCAGAGTCTTCATCTGAGGCTGAACTTGAATATCTGGCTGAGGAGAAATCAGCAGGAGAGATTGGGCTCTGTGATGAGAATGATATCACAGGGGATTCAGAGCCAAGTCTTGAGTATGAGGCAGACCCAGAATCAGATCCAGCAGCAGGATCAGAGGATGGCCAAGAGCTGGATGGGGATCCTGGAATAGAGTCAGACGTCCAGCCTGACTATGATCACAGTTCTCAGGCAGAGACTGACTCTGAGGCTGTGTCCGATCAGCCTGTAGACTCTCAGGGCTCGGTGGAGTCTGAGCTCGACGTAGAGTCTGAACCTGAGCTAACAACCGACGACCCCCAGCCGCTCCGCTCTGACCTGGAAGAGGACGCCCACATTGGATCTGCTCAGAGGACACTTCTGATGGCAAACGCTGACGATCAGGGATGCTCCGAGGAAGTCCAGTCTGACCTCGACAATGCCGAGATGGAGAGCGAGGACTTCTGTGCTGTGTGTCTGATTGGAGGGGATCTGCTGTGCTGTGACCGCTGTCCAAAGGTTTTTCATCTGTCTTGCCACATCCCATCTCTACTAAGCTTCCCCTCGTAAGCTTCTTATAATTTAACCTGGAATTGATCCAGCACATTCAACATTATTTTCTCAGCTCTTCTTAAACCTTTTGTTTGAACCTCTTTCGTTAACCTTTCTTTTCCTGTTCAGAGGTGACTGGGTGTGCAGCCTCTGCAGGGACGTGGTAACGCCTGAGGTTGAGTATGACTGTGAGAATGAGAGAACATCTGCAGAACACACATCAGCACATGGACCGCCTGCATGTGACCAGAGAGTAGGTCATTTATTAAGTATTTGTAACAATGCTCTCTGATTGTGTTTGTCTTCATTCAGAATGATTTTCCTTTATGTTTGCTCAACTGTAGAAATGTGAGCGGCTGACCCTTCTGATCCTCAGTAACGTCCTGAGCGCTCCCTTCCATGAGCCCGTCAGTCCACTTGTGAGTAATCACCCGTTTAATTACAGATCAGTTACAGAAAAGGCTAAATCATTTTAATAATCTCATTTATTTGTTATAACTCTCACAAGAACATAGCAGCATCATGAGGAGTTTTCCTTATTGTTTCGGCAAACATAAACACACTTTGCTGGTATATCTGTCAGGGTTTAGGCGACTTAAAGATACCCTTAAGAGTTATTTGTAACAGTAAAGTTATGTTCACATAAGTTTTTCTCACAAAATCGCATTGAGTGTTTCCTTGAGGCCTGACAAACTCATGAATGTATCTGCTTCCCCACTAAACATTTGCAAAGCTGATTTTCAAAACATTAAATGTTTGCTTGAATGTGCATTCTTGTATCCTGAGTGATACAAACAGAGGGATCCCACTCATACAAACATTGCACAATAGCACTGCTAGTGGTTGATAACTCCAGGGTACCTTTAATATTGATAGCAATGGTTCAGGGTGGTTCAAAAGCAACTGCAGTTAATGAAAGACACCATCAGGCCAATGGTTCATATGTGTATTGCCATTATGTCAGCATATTGAATTCATTGGAGGAACTAGGATACCTGGTTTAGATCTACAAATATAGTGTCCCATTTGTCATAGCATATACATAATGCAATCTATGGAGCATTTATTTGATACATTTTGAAGGCAGGGAACTAAAGTGTCTGTGATTTAAAACAGTCTCAAATGTCTGCTTTTTCATGCAGGCTCGTCATTACTACCAGATCATCAAGAGGCCCATGGACCTGTCTGTGATCAGAGCCAAACTCAACAAGAGGAATACTCATCATTATAACTCACCAGAACAGTTTGTTGCTGATGTCTATCTCATGTTCCGCAACTGTGCAAAGTTCAATTATGTAAGTTAGAAATGGATGTCCTATATGTATTTACTCACTTTACAGTTTGTCTGAATGATAAACATTATAATCATGAGTCAGTACTTCACAAGCACTGATCGGAGTGTTATAGCTTTTCTCTCTCTGACCACAGCCTGACTCTGAGGTGGCCCAAGCAGGCCGCAGCCTCGAGGCGTTCTTCACTTCCAAGCTGAAAGACGTTTACCCGGACCGAGTTTTTGTCGTGGCCGAGGCGGACTCTGACAGTGATGAGTACGATGAGGCCTACAGGACGGCAGAGAGCGGATTCCCCTGGCCAGAGCGGAGAGAGCAGTGCCACAGGAAGAGAAAGAGGAGACACTCTCTCAAGTCCAGGAGACAAAACTTCTGACCAGAGGGGAATGAAATGCAACCATGGACACAAATAAGCTGTATATCTGGGTAATTGTACTGTTTTTTTATTTAGTAGTCTGTGGGGCCGTGACAGTGTCTGTAATCTATTTGTGGTTGGCTATAATATCACAGTGCTGCCATCGGATGGCAGCTAGACATACTGGAACAATCTATCCCTGCAGACTTCAACTATTGCTATTGAATTATGTTGTGTCTGCAATTATAGTTTGAACCTCAGCAAAATGTAACATTGTTTCCAACAAAGAAAAAAAGAAAGAAATAAGACCGATCGGAGCAGTAGAGAGGTTACAAACTGATTAAAAACCGCTTCAGTTACATGATATATGCTACACATTAGAGTTTGATGGCTTGCTTCTGCAAACGCTAAGATGATGCTGTAACACTTTACTATAGTATTATATTTTGGCTGTTCATGATTTACTTCTGCTGCGCTAAACATATCATTTATGATTCACTTTCAGACCTCCTAAAATCACATAACTGATGTTATATACTATATTTTACAAGGAGGATGAGGATTATTGTGGATGTTTTTTATCTCACTTTGCGTGCTTATTATTTGTTTTTTTCTAAGTGAGCATAGCTTTGATTATACACAGCACTTTGAACCTTTGCTACTATATGGGTAAATACTTATTTACCGTATTCTAAAACGCTCGACATATGTATACATGTTTAACTGTATAGAACTTTATTTTACTATATTTGTCATTTTAATGACTGAATGGTTGCAGGCAATTATCATAGGTTGGATTATTGATATAATGATGCATCTCAGTAGCTTTTCAAAAAGGCAGCATTGAATATTGTAGACTTTGTCTTTTTGACCAGAGTGATGCAGAGTGATTTATGGCACTATAACCAGTGTTAGAACTTGTGTAAGTTCATGTTTGTTAGAGGATTTAACATCCGGATGAAACAACCCAAGACATTTACATTTTTTTCTTAATGAAATTAAGTTTGTGTATTCATTATGTAAGCGTTATGTTCTGATGTGTTTCAGCAAAAATGTTGTTTTCAGGCTTAGTCAGAGAGTCAGGCATTCATATTATTCAGTATTAATGGTTATTTGTAGATCCACACTGTTGAGAGAAAATACATTTTATAATACACACTGTTGTAGAGCATTTCCTGTTTTTAAATAATGTTTACTTGCTTCCTGCAGTTACATTTTAGTTGACTTTAAGATAAATTACTGCACAAATTATTCTCTGTACACTCCTTGGTCATTGTCAGGGAGTAATACGAAAAGAAGTAATACAGTATACAGTATGTAGTGTTACTTCTTTAAATGAATACATGTAATACTATTTCCTATTATATAAGGGAAGACTGATAACATAAAGTTAATGTCACTGTTGTCAAATGTCTTTCTTCCTTTTTTACTGTAACAGTCAACTATAAATGCAACATATATTATTATCAATAAAATGAATTCAAGTGAAAATATATTTGATTATCATTTTCCTTTCTGCTATTGTAAATCATTATATGTTTCAGGAGAAAAACAAATGGAAGAAACAGTTTTATAATTTACAGCACCACATAAACTGTAAATATGTATCTTTTGTATACAACCAGAACTCAATATGAATTGCAGCCATTTGAAGTTGGACCTAAAGGTTTGGCAAGAGATGTTTTCAGCTTCTACCCCAAAAATCCATAGAAGCAATATCATACAAATGGTTTAGGATTACCCTTTATTTGCTTTGGGAGGAGACGCATCTCCAGTAGTTCAAAAATATGTGATAAAATATGACATTTTCCTGCAGATCATAAATTCATTTCAGCACCATTTGTTTATATTAAAGTCTTTCAATTTGGATTTGATTTTTCCATTACTCAAAAGAGTCCAAGCAGGTTTAGGATTGTGAATAAAACATGATTTTTGGCTCAAATATCTTCCATCTTCTAATCTAATTTAACTGTGTCTTCTCTGATTAATCTTACTGATGATGATGATTGAAGTATCCAGAACCAACATCGCTCTCTGAGAAAGAGTGATAATAAATCCAGTGTGTTTGTTTTGGATGATAAAACGGTTTCTGAGTACAGAGTGAAAGCACCAGAGGCCCCACTGGAATTTGTTATTGAAGAAAGCTGCAGAAGATGATTGTGCAGATTTTGTAGCAATCATTCCAACATGGCAAAAAAAAAGCATTTATATGCTCTTACTGTTAAGTGCAACTTTTCATTTTAAAATGAGCCATACAATTTTTATGAAACAGAGGCAAATAAACAATTTAAGAAAATTCTGAGCACAGAAGAAGATACAGAATGAGTTATAAAGTAGGCCAAACGCCCACACTAAAATGAAGTAATGCTTACATCATTATATGTCATATACGTGTTGGGTCTGTTACAGTGTCATGATGATTTAACATAGTTTGTTTGAGTTGACTTGTTTACCACAAACAAGATGAAACCGCAAGCTAAAAAAGGTGTTCAGAAAAGTCCTCATTGCTTCTGAAACCTTTGTGACATTTTCTAAAATAATAATTTACAAATATTTAACACAAAATACAGAGGTTTTAGCCTTAGCTTTATACCTACTATGACTATGCAAAATATAAGAGTCAAAGCCCAAACATTACCCACAGAAAAAAAAGAGAATTCATTTCTTTCAAAAGTTTAATTATGAGGTCATATACAGTACCTTTTTGTAAATACCACTGAAGGCACTGAACTACACATTATGTCACTGAGATATAACATGTACTTCCAAAGCAGACCGTATAGCTGTAAGAAAGTTAGAAGTGCTGGAGGTGAGAGGGGGACATTTGGGGACTTTTTTGCCCAAAAATATGGCCTTCAAGGCTTTCCCATCAGGCCGTTGTTTATGACCCTGACCTGTAACCATCCGTCAACCTGCCATGATTGGCAGAGCTCTGATGGGGATGCAACCAGCCTGAGGGGTGGCACCTCCTTGAAGACTTCTCTCAGGGCAAAACAATCTAATTATGGTTTTGGCAAGTTTGCTAAGCCACCAGGAGCAATCCATATCTTCTTCTATCTGTAATCTTTTTGACACTTGCCTCTGTTTCTTTTGGCCTGCTCTGAATTTCTTGACCTTAAAAACCTTTGTTTACAGCTCAAAAATGTTTAAGCCATTTATCACTACTTTAGATTTAAAAAAAAAAAGCGATATGCTCTCAAAATAAAAAATGTTTGTGTAAGGCATTAGAGGAGCACCAACAAGTAGATTTTTGGTGACCTTGCTGGCTCTGCCTCACATTTTGAAAATGAGTAGAACAATGTTTCATCGCATTTAAAACAATTTTGTGAGTGTGTCTCAAATTTAAGGGGAATAGTTTGTAATTGTTCTTAATTTCACAAAATTATTTCATGCAGAAAATCTGTCTTAGACTTAGTCATGCAATAGAAAGGGGGGATGTATCTTATAAATACATTGATTTGTGTAGAAAGGAGAGTTTATAAAACAAATCCCTGGTGGGGTGTTGGAGTTTGATTGTTGTTAAATATAAGGACCACTGTAGTACAAATTATAAGTGCAGTTTGACATCAGCTAAGTGATTCAACATTCATTGTTTATTGAAAGACACAAAAACATCTCTACTGTGGTTTTTTCTTCTTCTAAAGAATAAGTCAAAGGTGTTATATGATCAATGCTTTGGTCAGGTGGCATTTTGCTATGTTTTATTCTCGATTAAGGTTTGTGACCTTTTAGTCTGCAGTCCTGGAGTAAAACATTACAGGATAGGAATGAGACACTGCTGTGACCTTTGGTGAACAATGAGGAGGGCAAACAGAGAAGCACTGAGAGAAAAATGAGATCTGACCAGGGAACAGTCTTTGAAATCAAAGTTTGGAGTCCTTATGTGAGCTGAAGCTTTCTGCCGAATCAAGGTCAACAGACATGTTACATTTGAACCTTAACATATGCTGGCATTTTATTGTCTGTGGGTTCATTTTGCAACTCTAAAATGTTTGTCATATCATAGCTTTCTAGGTATCCAACATCCTGATTGTCCTTTTCTTTCTATCTTTTTTATATACTTTGGGGAGATGTGGGGCTTGTTATTCTCCACACATGTGTCTTATAACCTGTTTGTATCATTTTATCTTTTTTTACATCTGCGCTTGCAAACCTTGTGTAGTTGGCTGAGTCGGGGCAGTACTCTCAGTAGGGACGTGTCGAGGTGAAGCAGCTCTTCTTAACACTAGCCTATGAAGTTCGTAGAGTGCAGAAGAGAGAGAAGACGAAGGAGACTTTAACAGGTAATTTTCTTAAACCTGCATGAATGAAATTAAGTTGGTCTTGCTGGGAGTGAGGGTGCTGGTAAAACAGGTGAGCATACTGTTTATATTATCCTATATCTACATGCCTGACCTCTATTTAACTTATACATTTCAGTATACTCCAAAATTAAAATGGTTTAATACGTCATCGAATAAACAAGTTGAAGCCTTTGGAAATGTCCAATTTCTATATAATTTATTATACTTATCTGCTATTTTACAATTTACAATCTCGGGGTAAGCAGATGAACATCCAATTTCAAATGTCAATGTTCTTACTGTTATAATCTCCCTATAGTTGTTCTGGTGAGATTCCTGACAAAAAGCATTATTAAAGAGCGTTATGTCATACTGCTTTCACAGGTTTTACAATGTGGTTTTTTCAGCCTCATATGTATTATGTTTTAGCAATTTACGGTGTCTGAAAAACCAATTTTTCAGTGTCTTTTTTTTCTGTGCTTTAAATCAGTGATGTGCATATTTTACCATCACACAATGTTTACCTGAGAACTGTTATATAATGACAGTTTGCAGAGGCGTATGCAATTTCAAACATCTTCACTTTTGGTCTAAAAGAGTTGGCTTGTTTGTGTTTGCCCCCTATGAGCAATCATGCACACATGAATTAGTCATTGTCCCATAGTTTGACTAAACTGGCACCATACTGTTTACTTGTGGCTATTGTCTTCAGTACTATACAACATTTACCAGTTTATGTTTTGGTTTAAAATCATACTCTGTCACTGAGAGCACATTTTAAAGGTTCGGTTGCCGTTATTGCTACAGAAGACTGTACACAAATGGTTTTCTTTACCTCTCTGTTTTTACTTTTATTGACTCCAGACTGAGTGTCATATAAAAGGATCTTTGTGATTTGGCTGCATACTGTCAAGCCTCTAATTAACTGTCTCTTTTGGCCCACTGCTTGGTAATTTTGCCAAATGTTTGACCATTTCTCTCATAACTTTCAAAGTTTATTTTCATTTTGGATTGTACATATAAGTGGAAACTCACAGCACCTTCAATAACAAACATGGTAATTATTGAAGGTGCTCTTTTTATGTAAATTGAAAAGGGATCAAATATAGACAAATAATTGCATTTGACTAAATGTTTGCAAGATGGCAAAAGTGGATGAACACTAGCAGCTAAATAGACTGAAAATAGACTGTAATAGAATAACCGTTTGCAGAGAGGTGTACAATTTCAAACATCTTCACTTCTGGTCTGAATTAATTGGCTTTTTGCCCCCTATGAGCAATCATGCACACAGTAATTACAATAATCATTGTTCCATGGTTTGACTAACCTGGCACCATGTTGTGTGCATTGCCTCTTATAAGAAATACGTTTTATTTACTGTGTTGAACTCTCCATTTGTGTTTTAATATTTATCGATAAGCATTTGCTTCCTAGCATATTGCACTTTTTAATATAACATGATGATTTTACTTCTTTGCGGATTCCTTATCTCATAAAAGGATGTCCATTGATTGCAGACAGTTTAATTTGGTTATATTTTATACATGTGCCCAGGCAGGAATAATATGTTTTGATAATAAAAGGATAATTCCTTTTAGGTGTAGAATGCTGGTTATAGTCTTCTGTCGTGTACAAAATGTAATTGAATGTTTTGGTTTAAAGGTTTATATAACAGTACCCTGTCACTGAGAGCACACTCTAAAGGTTCGGTTGACATATTTGCTACAGCAGACTATGCACACATGGTTTTATTTTAAAAACTTTTACTTTTATTGATTACAGAGTCTTACTGTATAAAAGGATCCCTGTGACTTGGCTGCTTACTGTGATGCCTCTAATTAACTGCCTTTTTAAATGTTTGACAATTTTTCTCATAACTTTTTTATGCTTTTCATTAAGTTGAAAAGGTACCTTACTGTATGACTGAAATTTTTGATAGCTTAACTTGTCAGGTCTTTGAATGAAAACATGCTGTGTATGATCTCTGCCTTCACTTCTGCTGTGTCAGAGAGGAAGGAGCAGGTGTTTCCTGTGGGAGCCAGTGAACTGGGCAGATGGATTTGTAGTGGTGTACAACACCTTTGACAGACTGTCCTTCCTCAACACCCAAAGCATCCTGCCACAGATCAAAGAGATCTGTAAAGGGTGAGTGACCACAGTCCGCTGAGAATGAAGCCAAGAGAGGACTTAACTTTGATGCGATAATGAG